GTGCGATAGACCTACCTCCACGTGGTGCACCCTGAGCAACGTATATTCTAACTGCAAGAAACTCTATTACTCGGCTTTTGACTTCAATTTATTATGATTTGCTTGAAAAGAAGCTATAAGAGAAATCGCCCTCTTCAGGGTGAATCATAACTTCTACAGATCCTTCAGTGGAATGCTGTAGGCATATCACAGGACAAAAGATCCAAATTCAGATTATTCTACATATCTATTTTGTAGACAAATTCACAATCATGGAGGCAAACCTTACGGATGACAAACTTAAATACTACCAATTTCCAGGTTACACCTTATACCTTCTACCTGAATACCAGTAAGTTGCCAGTGGAATTTTGATTGGAGTAAAAGAAGGCCTCACATCACAATACGATCTAATCAAGAGTATGGGTTCGACGCAAGACATATGCGAACTAATCAGTTTAGATGATTGGAAATGTTAAAATCACTTCAAGGTATATGCAGTCTATAATCCACCCCAGAATAGTCCCAACTTTAATCTTCTGAACACCTCACACAAAACTGTATTATTAGGATACTTCAACGCCCATTCCACCAGATGGTGGTGAAAAGATGAAGAACGTTGTTGCATCGGTGGAGAGGAAAAGGAGGGAGAATGAGAAGTGCTTGGGAAATAGAAATGGAGAAGTAAGCGACAATAGGTGGAAGTCACCACGCGCCCTCTGGGCCACACTACGCACACCATTCACAGGCGCGGTCCTGCTACTGCACCACGTGGGGGCTTTTGGCTGCTGAGTTTCCCCCCTGACCCATTACACCCCTCCTTAGGCAACCTGGAGACCACTGCCTTCCGACAGGATCCCCATATCGACGCCGCGCTTAGCACGGACGCCCGATCCACATGCGCGCACGCAGGTTGGAGCTCCCAGCGACGGCAGTTTCAACCACCCGGCCTCCAAGTTGCTGGATTACAGGCGCACGCCGCTACGCCCAGCCGCTCGCTAACCCCAGCTCTTTGCACTTACGCGCTCCTCTCGCAACTTTTCTCACTCTCAGCCCCAACTACTCACTTGCTTTCAGTAACATCTTACTACCTTCCATCTTCACTCGCCATCTGCATTCCACCTTCTTGCCATCGACCGTTCTCGCTCTCACCCTTTCTTCCTACCACTTTAGTCGTGCTGACGTATGCACATTTCACCTCTGCTTTTTATCAAACGAATAAGTAGAAATGCTTCACAACTTCTATTTACGTGGTTGGTGTACACTAATTCGAGGAAATTTCTTGTCTGGATTTGCCAAACTAATTTTGCTACTTCCCCTAACTTGCCAACGTTCGTGCGCCCTGTTTATTAGCAGAATGCTAACCAACTTCCTATGCGAAAGTAGTTTATGCATGAAGCTAATTATTGAAATTCCATTTGTTCAAAAATATGCGGTCGTTTGAGTCACAATGAATACTTACGGGCAATCTAGCCATGCAATCCCTTAATACAGCTCCATTGATGAGGGGCTTAATTTTATTGTTCTAAGACAATGGATTAACAAAATACCTGTTTCATTCATTGACATATTTATTATTAAAATGCGTTGCGAACCAATGTCTTGATGTTCACCGCAAGTCCAATATCGATTCCGCGTTATAATATTGCCAGGTGAGGACATAATGAAGGTCACTACCTCTCATTGACTGGTCTGTTGCCAGACTACTCATACTTTCCTTTATCGGCTTTTGAAGTCCGATGATTTAGCCCACAATTAATTTGATATTCGGTAGATCCAAAACAATGTTTTTCGTTAGAGTTATTAAACATGCATGGCCAAATTAAGTTGCGATCAGGATCTATTTGGAGGGAACTCAAGGGAAGGAGAGACAAAATGAGAGGAGGAAGATTGTGTGCGGGATACTGAATCACAAGGTTATTTGTACATTTCTTTGTCATGTGGTCCAATGGGCATCTAGAATAGTTGTGGACACCACTGTGCCACTTTAATGGTTTGCGTCCATTAATCTAAATAAACCGTTTGAGGGCAAATGTTGAACCACCAAAGTAATCTTGTAGCCAGGGATGTGCGATAGACTAATCTCCATAGGGTGTACCCTGGGCAACGTATACTCATAAGGCAAAAAGGTCTATAAACCGGCGGTTGACTTCGGACTTCAAATTACCATCACCCCACTGTATATCATGTTCTACGACTTCCACAGTACTCATCCCACCTTTTCTCTACCTTTGTGTCTCTCTGTCTGTCTCTTCTAAATCTGTGAATCACTCTTTTGCTCTCCCTCTCCAATTTTTCTCACTTTGATGTTCCTCCCTCTGTGAAGCCCGAAGTCAGCTAAATGGCCAATGATAATTATTCATAACGCTTGCCATATGAAATAATAATAATAATAATAACAATAATAATCTTGTAACCATAGGAGGAATTGTGCCCCCCAAGTACCACCGCGTGTTTAGTAATAGTTTTGAGGTCGAGGTGCCAAAGTCTCAGAGATAAATAATGGCGAGTGAAATAAACAGTGAAGGTGGTTATTGCACATCCTTTTTTCGTAACCTGCGTGGTTGATCTAAACTACTTCGACTTACTCTGTGGATGCAGGCTTAGTGAACCACAATAGCAAGACACTGACCATACCCCTCGTAAGTATAAATTCACACAGACCAATGTTAAATAGACTTATAATAAGGACACACATATAAATACAATTCAAATACAATCATTGAATGTTTTAAAATTTAGAAGAATTTCCTATTATTTCTTTAAAAAAATATAAAATAATTAGTAATGAGCTAATTGCGCCTCAAAAACGGCGCATTTATAACGTCTGAATGCATGTACCTCGCAAATAAGCCGCAGCCATCTCTAAGGCCAAAGTCCCTAGTGTGGAAGGGCACTCGAAATGAGCTAAGCCACCTCAAAAATATCGCATGATGTGGAATGGATTTATTGATTTATTGTGATTGCAATGATTATTGTAGCACTGGCGTAGAGCTGATTCATTATGTACCTCTAATGACTGCTGATTTTTAATTGACTGAGAGGGGGAGGGGCACTGCAGTCGTGGCTTCATTTACTCCCCTACATGATCAACTTCATGGTCGCACATTCCAGAATGTTCGAGCACCCATGAGCTTGCTTAATTCAACCAGGGTGATTGTGTGATTCTCCTCTGCTCAGGGTTTATCTTGGAAAATGCTTTCCTATATATAGGTTTTGCACTTGTTGCCATTCCCACTGTGGTTAATTGAAGCTTACTCAAAGGAAGTACCCAACTTATTGATTTTTCATTAATTTATATTATACAAATGCTGCCAATTTATGCTGGTAATGGCTACACAGCGCGATTCCATTGGTGACCAATAGCAAGCAAAGTTGATTATCCGCTTGTACAACCAATTGCAGCCCATGTTGTTGTCGTCATGCCAACGAAAACGAGATGAGATGAAATGGACTTTAAAGAAACAAAATATTTGCATTCCCAGTTGCCCAGCGGCATGATATCAGCCACAATGAAAGCTAGTCACATTATCGCCGTCCTAAATATATGCAAACGGGGAGATGTGGCCTTCCTACGAAAGCTTCTTGCCTCTAACTGCAATTTCGAAGAGGTAAAGGATCGTAAGGGGAGAAATGCTCTTCACTACTGCGCGGAAACTGATGATACAGGATCTTCGAGTACGGCAAAAAAACCTGGAGGACGTCTAGGATGTGCAGCACTTCTTCTGGATTCCGAATTCAAACTTCAAGATCAGCCAGATAATGAAGGCTTTCTCCCATTTCATCATGCTGTCATTCATGGAAATATTCCTCTCGCTAAACTTTTTCTTTCTCATGGCGTTGACGTGAATGTTCTTGTTACTCCTCCTTCTCCTGATGAAGTCTGCCAAGAAGCCGGCAACACTGCGGGTTCTGGAAGATCCGCTCTGCATTTATCTGTAATCTATGCTAATTACGAAATGTTGGAGTTTCTCCTTTCTGGTTCATTTGAGGATGATAATGACGTTAAATATGAGTTCTATATTGATGCCAGCATCCAGGATGCACAATCAGCAATAGCTTTACACTATGCTGTTCAATTGCCAGAAGGAATTTCAGCCTCCATGATTAAGTGTATTGTCGAAAACTCTGATGTGGATATCAACTCTACTGATGCTCATGGAAGAACCCCATTAATTTGGGCTGCTACAATCGGAGCTTCCTTGCCAACTAGTATTCTTTTGGATCTTGGTGCAAATGCTTCGAAATCTGAACAGAGTGGACTCACAGCTCTCCATTGTTCTGCTTCGAGAGGTCATACCTCAACCATCCAAGCGATCATTCAACACCTTGATAAGAGTGACGTGGATAATGAAGGGAGAAAAGAGGTCCTAGATGCACAGGACACGGATGGATGTACTCCTCTGTTTTATTGTGTTACAATGGGACATCCTAGTGTGACAAAGAAGTTACTTAAGGCAGGAGCAGATTCAAATACTACAGATAGTCGTGGAAGAAACCTATTCCACTGTGCCAGTAGAACCCCGTCTGGTAGTGTCCTTCCCATCATAGATCTTTTGCTAGAACACGGAGCCGATCCTTCTAAAGTGAATAGTGTTGGTGATACCCCACTACATGAAGCCTGCTCTAATTCAAATAAAGAGTGTGTGGAAAGATTACTTAAAGTTACTTGTGTTGCAGAAAATTGCATCAATCTTAAAAATGATGACAATCAAACGCCTCTTCAAATATCCACTCAGCGGGCTTTAAGGGCAAAAGAGCAAGAGTTGAATAGTGATCACGCTAAAGACGTTGAAATCTGTCAGCTATTGGTTAATGCGGGAGCTAATGTTGGTACAGAGGATGAAGCCGAGAGCTCACCACTTTCAATGGTTAGAACCTGTCTAAGAACCACCCCAAATTATCGACCGGCTTTGGAGCTTGAACGCGTGTTTAATAGGAACGTTAACAGCAGAAAATGCATCACACAGGACCAACTGACTCCTATTCGAAGAGATAGCTTTTCAACAACAATTGAAACTAAGGAAATGTCCGATATATCAGCAGCAACTGAGTCGCATGAAAAGTCTAATAACATGGAAGATGTCTGTAAAAATCGCCCACGTTTGGAGCAGTCCGACTTGAGTTCTAGTGGCAGTATTAGTGATACGAAGGAAAGATACCGAAATCACTACGAAAATTCGCGAAAGTCAGTAAGCGAGGGGGTAGATTTTCCTGTAAGTCAAGAAGATTTGGTGAGTACTGTGGAAGAATCTCTACGCCAAAATGAGAATGGATCAGAATATTCATCCAAAGGAACACCTTCAAGGAAGTCAATCACTCGATGTAGTTCAAAACATACTTCATCTTCAGTCGCCACACCAATAAATTCTCGGGCGAATTCAGTGCTAAGCGAAAAGAGACGAACTGAATCGCCGATACGGCCTGTAACGAAGAGCGTTAGTCAATCTACCATAACCCGAAAAAAGAGTCGATCAAGTATTCGCTCAGCATCTGTTCAACCTCTTGAAAATTCACTTCCGGAAATTCAATCTCAAAGGTCTTCTACCTCAAGGTATTTGGAAACGCTTTCAACTAGTTCAACGTCTACAAAACAAAGTTCGAGAAAATCACAATCTAAGCCTTCTAGCAGAAGGACAACCACTCCACAAGGAACGCGAACACCAAGATCAGCAACTAAAATGACTTTCCAGCAGTATGAAAACGGAGAACCTTCTCGACACAGTAATTTGGCACCGCTACAAACTCATAGATCTACGAATCGCCAAACGGAAACTGGAACGAGCAAAGGAACTACTTCACTTAGTTCTTTAAGGTCTGTTCCATTGAAGGCTCAGCACTTACCAGCGTGGACTCAGACGTCATTTGAAGCATCTGCATTGTCAAATACCAGACATTCTCGACTATCCCACAGTTCGGAACGTATTAACGAATTGGCTAAGCCAAAACGCAGGCCAAGGTCATCTTGTGATTTTGCTGATAAATCTGGCGGACTTGATGGAAAACAAAGACTGCCGCAACCCACAATAAGCCCGTACTTAATGCCTGTTGCCAGATGGCCACGAACAATGGCGTCAATGTTGCTGATGGGTGAAGTGTCTCCGCTCTACTGCGCTCAATCACTGAATGCTGGGGGTCCAGTGAAATCAAAGAAACGACCTACAAAAGCACAAACCGAGAGGGTCCGCTCGGCGATGGAGGCACGTGTTCGGCTTTCATTGGCAGAGAAGGAGCTCGTAAAACTTGCTGCCCAATTGTTGGATCAATATGACACACTTTTGATTGAGAGACAAAAGCTTGCGAGGACAAGAACAATGCAACAGGTGGAAGAGAAGTATTGATTATAAATCCATTTTGAGATTAAAAAGACAAAATAATGGCACATTTCTTCCGAATGGTTACTTTGACTCATTAAAGATGTGCTATTTGTGTAAAATACATTTACTTTTTATGTAAACTCAACTCTGTTTTAGTATTCATTATAAAACAATGGAAATATTCTTCCTCAATTTCTTAAAGGGTAGTAAGATTGGTTTAATGAGATACAATAAATGGAAAGTGCTTGCTGAACGATTTATCCACAATAGAAGAATTTATCTTCGTATCTTTATATATATGTGACTGTAATTAATACGAAGTCTGATAATTGAGTTAAAAAATTGGCCGGAACTCACACGATTGAATTCTTCAGTGTATATTAGAATAGAAGTGATGCATGTGCAAATTTATGATATAACGGATAAACAAATGCTACTTTGGTGTATTAAGTAGATAACGAAGTAGGCTATTCATTTATCGTTTCCACTACTACTCATGTTGACAAAAAACGAAGAAGAGCATTAAACAAAGACGAAAGTCCATGTGTGACATGTGGAAAACAAACCATCCAAAAAACAACTCCAGTTGTTGTGAAACAAAAATGTACGAAAATGAAGAGGTAAAATGAATTAGTTAGGTGAATCAGAATGGTATGATCGGACACAAAGGAGCAGACTGTCTGATTGCGATAACCGGATCGAGTGTAAAATTGTGTGTGGGTTTACTTGTGACAAAGACAGTTAGAATGTCTTAAGACAAATTTGATAATCCTGCAATAAACCGTATTGCACGCAATTTTTATTGTTTCTATTTTACCCACAGAAAAATATCAAAATGTGACAATTGAAGGCAAATGAACTTTGTTAACGGTAAGTTCACTTAAACTTGGAGGAGATAAAAGCGAAAGTGAACTTGTTATTCTGTCATCAAAAAGTTGAGATATTTAATTTCTGCAAATCACAAGCCTTCTATTTTTTTAATAAGTAAAATTTAAATGACACTTTCCATCACCTGGGGTATTGGGGCAGCTAATACTTTCAGCTTAGCGAATCCTAATGGCATCATGGCCAACCAGACTGTGCTCTCAAAACTGCCAAACTGTTAGGTGGATTTTGAAATGGTTGTGGGCGTATGATTAGACCTCCATACCTAATGAAAGACCGATAGCATTAATGAAACATTTTATTTTCTACCAATCAACTAAACGTCAATAATGAACAAGATCAGTTGCATAAAATTATGACCCATCCAGGAACTTGAGTCCACACTGAAAATCGATGACAATAGCATTAGACGATCAAGGATTCGAATGGTCTAATAAGGATGGCAAATTAGGAATATACTGCACCATACTCATGTAGAAAAAGTATGCTTGTTCCTGAAAATGAACAGGATATGTCATAGCCCATAGCACCAAAATTTCTGCTTAGTTATTTTCTTGAGCAGATTGGAAATATTTGACCTCACAGTCAAGAGAGAATAAGGGTTCATGAAAATTAACAGGAACTATCAGCAGGTCAAGGTCCAGTATAAATTTCTGATAATATATTTCATTTTAAGGTTTTACAAATAAATTTTGCACAAATAGGAAGAGCTGAATTTAGAATAATGATTGGTCATGCACATTACAATTTTTCGAAATTGTTAAATACTTTGGCCGAGGAATCGAGATTGTCGGCAACAAAATGGGGTATTTAAAATCTAAAACTAAAACATTAGTTTCACTCCAGTAATATAATTAAACCAAATTGATCTCCACCTTCAGGTTGATAACTTAAGCCGAAATGGGCTCATAAAAATGTTAACTCCTAACAGCTAATTATCGAGTAAGGAGCAAATCAAAGACCAAAAAATCATCAGGACTTACATGGATTAACGACGTTTAAAGTAAATTAAATTGTAAGCTCAAGACACTTTTTATGTAAAAAATACAAAGAACCAAATGTCAAATAAAAGTCTAGTACATGTATAGGCAGACAATAAAGATTTATTGACAAACAAGAAAGATATTTTCAGATGCGCGAATAATATACTCTCATGTAAATAGCTGACATTCGGAAAGATGTTTCTTAACCATCTTTCTGTTATAAGGACGGAGTGCGATCGCAGTAAGAATATTTTCGGGTTTCTCACACCAGAGCACAAACTCTATATTGTTGTTCTCCAGTTTCTCGGCGAGCTTAGCTAGTTGAACCTCACCGGGCACACCCAATATTACTTTTGTCATGTTATCAAGGTCAGAAACATAGGCCTTCGTATCTTCCACCTCATTGTACTTGTATAGAGCTGCAGTAGATGCATGGCAGGCCTGAGCGATAATAGAACCTACGGACCATGATAGCGATGCTTTAAGGTCTGTGCGAACAATAATATATTGAACTAAGTTTTGGGTGGACATCTATTTAAAATCAAGAAAGTAGATTAAATAGAAATATTTTAACAGTATAAAATTGAAATAAGCTTTTTAATGAATAAATCATCAATAGGGAAAAAGTGTCTTAGCAGAAATCATACCAGAAACAAATTACACAAAGAGGCAACTGACAATTGGTTGATTATATACTTATTTAGCCATTTGACCTTCGTTAAGGTTAATAACGTAGGCTTATTTGGCATTTGTTATAGCCCGTACTTAACAGTACGGGACGCATTGGATGAATTTTAAAATTTGTGCGGCTATTTCCTTTTATAGTACTAAAGTCATTATGTCTAGAGTCTCAAATATTGTATGATTATCAGTTGTGTCTGATATATCACAATATGTTATCTAAACTGGCCAAATTGATATGAAACGAGGATAATCTTTTCAAAGTATTATATGAAGCGAATTAATGAAACATTTTTCGCAATTTTGGGAATAAGATACAAATCCCAACAGATTTTTCGCTTCAGTACACATGCGAATATAGAGTCCCTTATACACATCCACAACAAATAGAAAATATATCAAAATAATTAATATCATATTTATCTTCACTCACTATATCTGCTATATTTATGCAAAATTTCTTCTTCTTGATAAGCTTATGATTTTCTCTTGCTATCTACTCTTCTCTTTGCTTGTGCTACTTAATTGGTAAATTTTTAACTTCACATTTATTTTCTCCAATGTGCTTCTGTGGATAAGAAAGCAACTTAACTAGCTCACACATTTATTTGGTCAATTTAAGTGAATAAAATTATTTGAATTTAATGCAGAAATTTATATTTCCTGTTAAATGAGTGAGCAATAACATGTAACAGTAACCATGTAAACTACTGTCAATATTTCATGATAATGAAGCAGAATTAACACTTTCGAAGTCTTTATCTTCCACCTCCTCCTCCTTCTCCTCCTTCTCCTCCTCCTTTTCTTTCTCCTTTTCCTCCACTTCCTTCTCCTCATTCTCCTCGTTCTCCTCGTCCATATTCACTTCTGAATTTTCACTGATAACTGAATACCTAGTGAAAGTTGAATAGTTATTTACTATATCTTTTGCCGCTTTAAACAGCTGTGCAATTGACAATACTTCATCCATTTGATCGATTTTATCACTGAGTTCTTGAGGACTCTCGGAATTTGAATCAGTCTTTTGCTCCTGTTCCTCCATTGGTTCATCTGCTATCGTTGAATCCTGCCGAGTGTTCCTTGATGCATCTTCGGTAACGGAGAGATCCCAATGAACAGTATTGTTGTCCGCCCATAGCTGAATATATTTCTGACGATTTCCTTCAAAATCACATTTATGGCGTATTGGCGGCAACTCAATTCCCATATCTCTGTGAAAAAATGGTAAATAGAGTAAAAATAATTATAATTGATACCATTAGTAGTTCATTTTTCATGAAAAGTATTTAGTTCAAGTTTTGTTATCATTGCAAATACACTTGGAATTTTTATTGTTAGGCCGGGTTCGAGGTATTTTAATAACTAGGACTCTAAATTAGTTATCCTATTTTCCAAAATTATGTGTTTTTTTATTGAAATAAAACTGACACTTATTCAAAGAAGGAAATTAAATTAAATTCTCTTAATATAATAAAATCTAACTGCATTTTGCGTATAGTTTCTAGGTAATAATAACTGAAGGCACAAAGTTTCAGTTTATGAAAAAATGTCGGTCTTTTATAGAATCTGTTAGCTTCCTTTGAAATATTAAAATATCCCATTTTAGAGCACTCTAGCACATAATATGGTGATAATTTAACTTTGCAATTTAGTATGGCAACCCGTGTTCTATGTTATATTTTTAAACTTAATTATTTTTAATATATTCTCTATTACCCGAGATTGGGATTTTATAGTCAAGTGAAATAAGTAGAAACCTCTACACTTACTCCGGTAAACAGTCACCCGTGATTTCATTCCCTTTTTCGCATTTCCAAAGCCACGGTTTCGCCCCACAAATCTGAGGAAAATGCATGGCTTCGAAGTATTCATCTGATGCAAAACGAATCTTTTTCTTCTCTGCTGCTGCCCTTGCAACCTCATTTGCCTCCCTTTTTCTGGCAGCTTCTTCCTCCTTCATCTTCTCCTCATTTTGTATCCTTTTCTGCAATTTTTCTATAAACTCTGGATCATTCAGCATCACTTTATCAAAGCCAAATTTTAGTTTCAAGTGCTTGGTATGTGCTATTCCTATTGGTTCATCAAATATATGACAAGCTAGTGGATCGATTCGAAAGGGTATTCCATATTTACTCCTGTGGTTGGACTCTATTTCCGAGAGGTCTAATTCAATTTTATCATTTTCTTCTACACAAGGTTCACTGCTATCACCTGGCAAATCCCACTGCTTTAAATCACTTGGTTTATGAGTGCTATAGATGGAATTCAAACGCGAAGATCTTGAATATTTCCTACTCCACTGGAGTTCGCGGTAATTTGGAGCAGGAAGTGGATGAGATTTAACATATTCTGCAAAACCTGCAACTGTCCCTGATGAATAAACGTCTGAATTGACTTGGGGAATTGTACTTAGACTAGTCTTAATTTCATCTGATATTGGAACAAGAGCCATAAAATTACGCGTTTCATCTGGTGGAACGTAATCCGTATGCCCAAAAGACATTTTTCGTGAAATTTGGTGAAGATTTTGCATCATGGTAGATGAAAAATTCTCCTGAAAAATTCTGTAAAGTTGCCACACGTGCCTGAAGTTAAACAATGAATTGATTTCCAAAATAGTTGTGAAAAAGTTTGTTTTACATCTTTCACGTGTTACAGACAATTATCCAAAAAGTTGGTCCATACCTGTTGAGTGGGAAGAATAACCATACTAAGTCTGGCTAACAATGGAGAGTTCTAGAAATTGCTCTTTTTGCTCGTGAAGCACTAACTGAAATGAAAATTATTATTTATTTTCATTCGAAGAAATTAAAATTTTGTTTAACGAATTTTTCCCTCTCACATTGAACTAAAGTTTAACTATTAAAGTGTTAATGTTTAAAATATTGTCGCTTATTCCAAAGTGGGGGATAGAAAACGGCTTTCCATATTGACCTGGAAGTTATTAATATGAATAAAAAGCTTCACATGACCGGAAAATGTCGAATTGCTTAGATAAATAGAATAATGTGCACGGGAGCTGATAAATCATTCAACTCGATTGACTAAGAAGTGAACAATCCATAAACCTTGACAAATCCAAAAATTAAATGTAGTAAAAGGCTCTTTGATGCCTTGAATTTGGTTTCGGCATCTTGTCACTTATTGGGCTCTCTGTAAATGATTACAGTTGATTAAAGACTATACATTTTTCCCATACTGCAATACCATATTGTTGAAAAAAAGTGGAAACCGTTGAATGAATTAAATTGGGAGAGGGGTGGGGGGAGAAGGTTGGGCTATTGTTGCTGACTTAAAATCCCGAAAGTGCTTATAATACATCCAAGTTAAAACGGAACGCAGCGGAATAATTACATAGTCTCAGATTTATTGTGGTCAAGGTTAGAACAAAGTTGGTATTGTCCCTTTATCCATAGAGTCAGATTTAGAATTCACAGTTTTCAATATTCACAATGAAAATGCACATATAATAGGTAGAAATCCGACCTCAAGATCTATTTGGAACATAAGTGGGAGGGTATTATTGAGCCTTCCTGTTCAAAAACCTCTATTTCTCACTACTTCTTTGCCACCCAAGCTGAACTGATGCCGTTGGAAATTTAACATGCAAATGTAGATTTGGAAGCCAAATACGCAAATAATCCCGCAATCGACAATACATTAGTGACAAGGAATGTAAGCTCAATACTACTTAAGACTTGAATGTGAACTCTTGGTCCTTCTAAATCTAAGACCTGTGAACTCTCCATGGCATGGTCCTGGAAGGCCATGATCATCGAATTTCTTCAAGCACCTCTACGTTCTAGATGTGGGAAAGAGTACTTTATATCAAAAATGGCATGAATCTCATCACACTTAACTTATCTTTAACATGTAGTTAACCACCAACGTGAACGACAAGAATAGTATACAATAGGGCTTAGTTTTGTCTTCAATGCAACTGATCCTGACCAACAAAGTCGATTTCCACTTCTCATAGTGTCAAATCACATCTTAATTGAATGTCGGGGAGATAGAGGGCAGTATCTTTGGCCTACCGACAAGATCAATATTTCGTGAACGAAGGAGTGAATAGGTCAATTTCCAATCGCATTCAGTCACCAAACCCTCAGACACAGCTAATTGGAGAATATGGGGAAATGGAGAACTTAGCAGATTGAATTTCACTGTTCTCTTATTTAACTTGTTGTTTCTAAAATTATTTAACAATCTTTTTAAGAGGTGCAACGTCTGCTGGTTTAACAAGTAAAAAAGACGATCAAAAGATACTATTTTGAGTACCTTTGAATTGGAGCTTAATAAGTGGTAAAAATTGAAAAATATAATTCCATGATCTAGTTAGACTGACAGATCCAAATCTGACAGTCTTGTTATTTTTAATGAAGTAAAGCCTAATTAATCTATTAAACAGTTGTTTTTAATTTTCGAACAGCTATATTCACTAAGTATCTTCCAACTGTCTACCGCCGGTAAAAATCGATAGATTATAACGTCTGACGACACTCGCTCAAATCACGCCCCCCTTCTCTTGTTACCGGGCTGTAGTTTCAGCGTTACATGGCCACGTGGGCGACTAATAAACCACTAGTGGATCAATATTCACACGAAAATGTTGTTAGGGCATGCCATTATTTGAGTAGCACCCTGGAAACACGAACGCGATCACACCAAATTCAAACTGGGTCATCCAGATATTATCTTTTCCAGATTGTTTGAAAATACCTAGTTCCCTTAACTTAAATTAATCTTCTAACTTAAATATGGGTGCATTTGATTCTGAAATAGTTAATTATATTGGGGTATGAACTAATACGAATTTCCAAGCTTGAATTTAATAGAGAGATAATTAAGTAGCTTGCTAAATGAAATGCGAAAATCAATATTTGACGTTGATAGTTTATATCATTATTTCCAATTCTCAAGATGCTAATTACTTGAGACTGCTAAATGGCCTTTACAAAATGGAATTTACATAGTAGTTGGCATGAAAGTTTAGAATCAAAACCATACCTATGAAAAGCAATAGTTTGAGTTATGAAAAAAATAAGTAAACCCTCCACAGGTGCTAATTTTTTCTTGGATGTACTATGGTCGCTTTTACACCTAATCTATCTCATAATGCTATTAAGTAATTTTCCCGATGAATGCTAATTTTTAGGAGAAACATTGCGACTGAACGGAATATGGCAATAAAGAGCTTTAGTCGTGAGAAATGGAAAGTTTTCCTGAGTTTAAGTAGCGACCTATCCTTTTTTTAAACAAAATATATCGGATTGATAGTTATGAAGGAAAAAATTCAGTAATAACGCATGTTGATTATTGTTGGGTTTAAAATTTTACTTGATGTACTTGTCCTTATAACAAGGCGCTTGCATTCAAGTCTATTATTAGTAAACATCAAATCTAGAAGTGTTAAAAACGTCTAATATCAGAAAATACTTGCCTCCATGATTGCTCAGATGTTAGAGAATAGGTGGTTGAGCTCACCTTATTTTCGTGAGTAGATATATAGCCAGTGAGTGGTATCAAGTATGAATCGACTTAAGATAAGAAAAGCGTACCTGAGTTCTAATCAGAATCAAGCATGGTTTATCTCCACTGTCGGAATTTATCCTACTTTTCCATATAGTGACTTCAAAGTTAAATATTCACACTTATAATAGTATGAAGGCTGATTTTAAAGACCACTCTATTTATGCCCCATTCTGATCGAAAAAATGTTCATCAAATTAGGGTAATTAAAAGTGCATTACGAGCCTATGATGACATAGTCAGTTTCAATTCTAAGTATAGACATTTAATTTACTACAATTATTAGCCGCTAATGCAAAAACTACAAGGAGCAAGGGTACAAATCAAGCACTCAAGCGATTTGATACTCAAATTAGTTCGCCTGACTCATCAGCCAATGGGAAAAGAATTTACACTCTTATGCGCATGGCAATGCTAAACTTCGATGTCTAATCATTTTGTGATTGGACAAGGTAGTACATACGCATGCTAACGAAATTAAACCGCAAGCTAAGGCATACCTAATTAGAAGCATATATTTACGAACGGCTGGTAGCTTGGCCACTGAATTGTCTTCTGTCAATCGGGATTTTCACAAACAGAAATTCATCATTACATGGCGATTAAGCAAGAACTTGAATCAGAAGATTTATCTAGAGTTTCGGACACAAAGGAAAACTTATCATCAGCATTTGTTACCGTTCCAAAACTGCCTCATTTGGTAAATAAAGTCTGACAAATGTTGTCCTTTGTACGATTGAATTGAATTGTTTTAAAGGCATGTCTTTTACCTTTTCCTAGCAAGAAAAAGGAGAACGTTCAACAACTGCTCTTGACTTAAGCGTGAGTTTATATTAAAATGTCATCAAAACATTGAAATATATAATAGAATTTTTAAATGTTCGAATGGATATAGACATTTATATGGCTTTGCTAATCAGAAACGTTACCAGAAGCTCCATATTTCAAGGCCTATTCTATCCTTTTTAGACCGGAACATCTCGTAAAAGGCCCTTTTCAGCGGAAAATAACGAACATGACGACGCTCCTAAGAGTAAAATTCCTAAAAAGAAACCAACGGATCAAGATTTAGCACTTAATGTAAGTTTTTTATCCCAAATTATAGCAATATTTCCTCTAGTATTTCATTAAGCAACTAGCAAACGAATTGCTAGATCGTAGACTAACCATTATACAGCAGCCTAGACATCGTTTAGCACAGCTAGAAGCAGCATGTAAACGACAATTCCCAGCCTTTAACGATCGGCAAATTCGTTTGAAGATTAGAGCTCAGTTAAAACTCTACCGTCGGAATCTCAAAAAGGCTGAAGAGCGAAAACTGGCGAAACCGATCTCCTTCAACCCACAGTCAGGACAGTTTGAAAAAGCTTCCTTGCCGATAGTGGGTCAAAATCGAAGCTGCTTTCCCGGCAACTCGAATGCCATATCAATGGCGCATCGGGCTCTTGCAAATGAGAGAAAAAGAGAGATTGTTCCCCTAAAGTCCATAAATAATTTGCAAAATATTGGCATAACTCTCAATCCGGTTATAATGAGCAAACCTTTAACGGAAAATGCAACGGTAAGGTATTTATTTACTCTAAATACCCCCCAAATTCAGAGTTCATGTCCAGTAGGAGAGACAAACTCGAAGCCGTTATTAATTTCAAGCACTCCGAATAGGGTGTTACCGAATTCTCAATCAGCTTTTGCTATGCCCATGCCTGTAAAAATTCCTCAAACGAATAGCTCGCCTAGTGATTTGAATTCTCTGAAGTCTTTGCTCGAATCTATGAAAATTCCAAATATTTCCGAGCCTAACTCCAGTCTTGCTGACTCAGTAATGGTAATTCTCTTTATTCCATTAATCCTTTTAGCTAAATATTAGCGACTTCGGACATCAGTCAAGTCAGGTTGCAGAATCGCAACAATTAAATCAATCCTGGCCACCGGCTATTTCTGATCCGTCGTGCATAATTGCCAATTGTCTGCGCATAGCGGCCAATTTTTTACTTCAAAGTGCCACGCTTTTTGAGCCAAAGAATCCCACAATGGTCAGCTCGGATCAGTCTGGTTTAAACTTGATTCCGAATCCCATTTTGGGATGCGATTTGCCTCCTATGCCACTTCCCCTTGGTTTCCCCAATAACTCAGTTCCCAATCTTTCATCTTCCGTTTGTTCTCTACCCTCACAGATTTCTTCTAAAGCTACTATTTCTACTAATACTACGACCACAACAAATTCTAATGGTAAGAAAAGCATCAGCTAGATTTGGTGCAATATTTTCTTATCAGCAGTTTTAAGTGGTCACATTTGCAAGTTAAATATAATACTATGTGTAAATCAATTGTTTTCTCACATCAATTAAATGGCAAGAACGAAAAATTTGTCAAATATTTCTATACCTGAGAGGAATTCATAATATCCCCATGAGTGGAATTCGATTTCCGTTCTCTCATGCACATACATGAGGGGATCAGGTCTCCTCACAGCCTTATTATTGGCCGGTTTCATTAGCGAAACAAATTTCGCACGTCTTATAAGTTACATATATGAGCCATGTTTTCATAATAAGGATTAGCCGTACCTTTCGGGAGGTATGGGAAATCTTTCCTTTTAGTCTGAACAATTGTAACCACAGTATGGCATATGTGTGGGAAAGAGTTTACTCATACTATTTATGGCAATCAGTAGCAATGGTAAATGCACTTAACTCGTCATGTTCCCCCTCCCCTCCTTTAAAACTACAATTTCTGTTTGATGTAGGGTAGTGCATTGGCGTATAATTGACTATGATGCTTGAAGAATTCGATTCCTGTGACCTAATGCACGGAGATTTGAGAATTTTGGGTCATGGCGTTATTATCAATAAGTGTAAGAGACAAGAATAGCCGAATAATGAGGATTTTATAAACATTAAAAGCTAATATAGATGCTTTCCTCTTTATGCTGCAATAAAGAAAGTGATGTTTTCAAAGAAGCTTGTTTCCATATATGTTTTAGCACAGTTGAATACTAAAAGTGATAATAGGGTGACTATAATAATGAACATCTTTGACTTTTGTGAATTGAATGAATGCCACAAAATAAGATGAAAAAGTTATGAAGACGAAACCGTATAAACAATCAATGGCGTTGATTTTGCTGGCGTGTGTTTAGATGTGGGAAATATGCAAAAGAGTTTAGAACCTCCTGTGAATTTCGAGCCATAACAATCGGGAATGGGGTGTGCGATAGACTTACCTTCAC